AATAAAAAGTAGTTTAATAAAATTTTGAATGTAAGACACTAAAACATTGTTTCATCTGCAATAAAGGATACCTGAGGCGATAGGGTTAAACTCTTGTATGACATCTTATCAAGGGTATTACAAAGACAGTGTTTCATCCAAGAAAGCAAAAGTTTTACCTGAAAAAACACTATAGGACATAAGTTAAATGGCATATTTTGTTGGAGAAAAATACATTAGTTTTGATTAAATAATTTTAAACATATTTTTTGGAAAGTGGTTTTACAAACTTTTTATTTTAAGGTTTCTCTTGTTTCTTTCTCAATAAACACACCTCAGTTGATGTTATGTTTTGTGATTTTTCAGAAAGATTTTGATAAAGCATAGAGGATAGGTTTAATTAGGAAGTAAATATGCATTTGTCATTAGTGAATCAGATAAAAAATTTAGTACAGTGGTAGGTTTATGGTGAAAACAGATGTTGATAAACGTTATTCTGATTCAGAGCTTGTCTCCGTGCTTTGAAGTCAGTTGAACTTGGGTCATATATTTTTGCTGCACATTACTTTTTCTCACACTTTTGCCAATAGACATTTTGATTCAGCTGTAATTGATATAAATTTCATAAACACTATGTCGTGCAAAAGTTTTTGCCTTTGTAAATAAATGGAATGCACTCTGCAAGTAGGTTTACTCAAGAGGATTTCCCAAACAGACATTTAAGTTGTAACATTTCGGTGTGACCCGCTGATTTTGTTTTCTAGATGAAAGTTTACTTACTTCTTTTTTGGCATTTTGGCATCTACTAGCCTGGTGCTGTAAATACAGTTAACAGTGGTTAGTTCTTTCTCATTAAAATATAATAAATACACGTTAGATGATAAGCAGAAACTGGCAGAACTATGCGCTAAAGATAGATTATAGCACAGTATGAAGATGCTGTTTCATCTTCATCAACACATAGAAATTAACTTATTTTGGCTGCGTTTTAATAGACTAGTATTTTGTAAAATGCAGTCAAGTTTGAATTATTATACATTATGTATGTATATAGATTATTGCTATTTTGAAATAAGTTCTTAAACATATTTTTCCTAAAACAGTAAATAAAGAAGTAAAGCAAACAATTATCTCTTCTAGTTATAACCTTTGTACTCAGTTGCTGCTTGACGTAGGTTGCTAAACCCTTAAAAATTTTGCACTGACACATATCTCTTCTAGTTATAACCTTTGTACTCAGTTGCTGCTTGACGTAGGTTGCTAAAGCTTTAAAAATTTTGCACGTGGAGGATATGAAACGAAATAATTTTTTTAAGTTTTATATATATACATTTGAATAACTAAAAGAATATATCTAAATAAGTCTAAAAAATATGAAATATCGAGCAGACTAAAGATACACCCTACCTTGTTAAAATATTGGTTCAAAAGAAAGAAATGGCTCTAAGTCTGTTAAAATGACTGAGAAAGCCACTAGGAGACATTCTGAGCTTCCGATTGGTTATTCATGTTATATATATATATATAGAAGTAAGTG